GAGACAAACACATGATACACCATGCGCATCACGCGGTCCGTAACGTGAATGGTATCGCATTCGGTTGCGATGCGAACCCAGCTTGGTATTGAAGTCGCTTATAAAGCAACGGAAGAAGCGTTCACCTTGACTAATGAATCTTGGAAATAATTCTTCGGGTCCCTTAATGGTTTACGAGGTCCATATTATGCGAAACTTATCAAAAATATTTACCTAAGTGACACTCTGAGTTGGGAAACCGTCAAAATCCTCATGAAAATCCCACCCTTTGTGTCGGTTTCTTACTCGTCGCAGCTCTGCTTCGGCTTCAGGGTAGGGCACGTAATGCCGCTGAGAAATTTTCTGGAAAATACGACCCCCATTGAATTTCTCCCAATGACGTGGATAGCGCCCATAAAACAGCAAAACGATGAACTATTGAACCAATATTTTGTCACACCAAATACGACCCTCCTCCCCTCCCCAACGACCGAATACGACCGCCCGCTGAGGACTCCCGCGCCCTGTTTCAGGTTCCAGAGCATCCGCTTTCTCCTCATGTCTTTGAAAAAGGGATGATTCGTTTTCCATCCGAAAGTAACGAAGTAAAATCCTCCGAAATTAGAGAAGACGGGCATTGCTGCGGCTCTGCAGATACTGCAAATGGTGGGTGACGGAGAAATGAAGTAGGGCCCATCTCAATCCACCGCAAACGTTGCAGTTTATTGACAAGATTAAGATGCATATCTTAAGATGCATTACCTTTATAAATTCAAAGGAACTGATTAGATTTGAAGAAGTTTATGATGGAAGCGGGTTAGTAATATTGATTTTTTGGCCGCTACTAAGGCGGGATAGCACGCGTCAGTTATTTCTACTGAGCTCCATAGTATTGGATCTTAGCTCTCTTGTTCTTCAGACTAGATTCCGCAACTAGGCAGCAATTAGGCGCTTTATACTATAGTACTATGTTCACGATTACAAATCCTCAGAGAAGCTCTTGTCACTTCTGGAAACAGTCGCAGGTTAGTCCGTATCGGCTCTCGATGATGGGACTGTTAACTCTTGTACAAATGAGGTATTCTCAGGCCACTGATATATAGATGAGATAGAAGTCCTGAAACAAGAGCACCGAGAAGTGAAAGCTGTGTCTGAGGAGCAGTACATATGTTCAGAATACATAACATGCAATCGCTTGAAAATAATATTCACGGCGAAAGGAATCGAAGTGCTTCGCCCAAACTTCGTTGGAATCTGTCTTCAGAAGTCGACGTTGATCTCACAGCTCGAAAATGATTGCAAGACTAGAAGCAAGGGTGAAGCAGGGTTGCTGGTGAGGTTGCACGTCCGAAAAAATCTATCATTTGAGCAAAGTAAATAAGCAAAAAGGGATTGTTAGTCTTCCGGTGAGACACGAGTGGAATTACAGCAATGTAACTGAAGAAATTGTGGCAAACATCTGATACTGCTTCAGATTTAATCAGGGCACATCATTTGTTGGGGATTTTGGTGGAGTCCGTGCGTCCCCCCCACCCCTCGAGATGGTGACTTAATACGACATCCCCTAGTTCGCCTTTGACACGATCGGGCTGTCGAGCGGGCGAGGGTGGTATATGTAAAGTAGCAGTGAAGCGGGAAAACGACGAGGAAAATACCCTCCCTCTCGCCAGCGACCAAATACGATCCCCCGTTGGGGAACACCTCGCAGTGATGTGCCCTGGATTTGCTATTCATGAGAGGTTCCGAACGTTGCTTCAATGAACTGAAACGGGCTCAGCTTCGAGGTGCATTCGCACCAGCAATCACACGACTCTTTTCCTTCCAGGCCTGTCAATGTCCAGTCCTTCGCCGCACCATCACAGCGCAAATGTTGCCCGACAAACGAGGTTGTAAAAGTGCTCATTTTCTTCCGTCAGGGTGCAGCCTCGTGTTGTTGCCCACTTCCTGGTGCTTACGTTCGTTCTCTGCGCCTCCGAGCGGGTCTTGCAGCAGAAATTCATTATTCCTGCCGGTCTGACGCGACTAGCAACGGCCGCTCGCTCAAACCGGGATCAGGAATCTGCGTCCGTTTCAGAGTGCTGATATCAAACAGACAGTCTCGGTGAACGACATCTTCTTCGAATACAGCGTGTATATATTATCTTCCGAGACTTGTGAACGGGTCGAAATTCGCATGGCCCATAGAAGGTGTATAAGCACCAAAACTAGCTCGAAGCCGTTATGCACCCGTCTATGGAATGTTCGGGAACACTTCATAGTAAAAAGGGACGGAAAAGTTCCGAAAGTTTTCAGAGTTTTTTCTGGAACCATTTGTTCAAATTTGTCGTAGGACATTTCGTCTAATCAAAATGACGTGAACATTGTACTCAAGGAAAATGGTAAGAGGGATTGATAGCATCAGTCCTAGTAGTAGAAGCCCTAGAAGTAGAAGAAGCTATTGGGAGATGACACATATTTTACCACTAAATAGAGACGTTGAGAACAAGAAAAGAAGGGGTAGATGTAACGCCAAGTACTTCACCTTTTCTTTATGCGATCCCACCAAGTGTTCCGCTTGACTTCGAGTGACACGACGCTCAACGCAGCTGACGAGCTCCGTGGGAGATTTTGTGAAATTCTAAATCGAAAGAGGAGTTGGTCCACAGCCACAGATCAACAACATATTGACAAAAGCTACGGATAGAAAGCATGCGCAGTACTACAGTGAAAAGGAGTACGAAATGTTATAAAATAAATACATTCTCAAATAAAATAAGTTGAACTCAAGAGTTTCGTGCAGTTTAAATCTATGCAACTATAGGGCTAGATAGCTTGTAAGCAAAGGTAAAGTTCCGAAACGGACAGTGAAAAACATCCAACTCTGGCCATGGGTTCTAAGTTGATCATTCTCAAACCGCAGGCCAAAAGTTCGCGATCGTATCCCTCCTTCCTCCATGACTGTCGGTTTCGAAAACGAGTGCTTTTTGTTAGTTTTGTTTTTCTTATTGCTTGAAGAAACCACAGGTCACTGCTAGTCCACAGTTGACTGTTAGGTGCTGACGAGGGGGATTGAAAAAAAACTGGTTAGGGGTTAATAAAACTGGTTAAGTAAGGGTAGTGGACATGGCCGTGACCAGCCGTTTCGCGGTAGTGTTAAGGTTAGTGATGGCCAGTGCAGACTTGTGCGTGTGCCGGACGACGAACTCAAGAGCGTCATGGGTGGCGTGAGTGAACGATTGCCGCTTCCTCGCCATCGCCATCACGTGCTGTTGACGTAGCTCACGGTTGATCAGCGCGTAGAGTACTGGATTAGCTGCTGAGTTGAAACAGACCTGAAATCGTGGATTCTCTGCAATCGCAACACCTCTTGACAGAAGAGCTTATTTTATAGGGTCCTTTAGGTAAAGGTAAGCAAAAACGGAAAAAGTGGTCGCTCGCTATTGATCTCACCTCTGCCTTGCCTTCAGAAACATAACCCTAAATGACTATATGATAACTCTTCAGAACTGTGGAAGTAAAGCATTAGGATAGGGGAAATGGCGGTTGAGGAAGATCCCTACTCCAAACTCCTTTTTCCAGCACGATCACTTTTCCCATCCTATCATCATTACTTCCCGAGTTTTTGCAACTCCTCCTCTACGTTTCAAAATCCGCCGTTTCCGGTTTTCCTTAAAAAAACTGACGTCAATGGTAAACCGGGATGCCTCTGAGGTGACTGACATGGTGACAACCCTCCCCCCCCCCTTCCCACGCGAGGGCAAAATTTTGGAGAAATTTCGGATACTTGGTAGGGATCTGGGAAAAGCTGGAAGATACAGGGTGAGACACGCGTCGATCGTACTTCCTCGAAAAAATTTCCCCTGCGGCAGGACGTGCCCTGGCTATACACGGATTGTCTGCGTCATCAGGTCTAATCTTATGAGCAGACAGAGTGCATGCGGGTTGTAGCTTAGCACATTCACTCTGACTCTGAGGATAGCACGAACTCAATCACTTCAATTGCGTCAATTTCCCCAACCGTGCCCACGCATCTCGTCTACTTGATGTTCTATGACCAGTAATCAACGTCCCAACATATGGCTAAATGGTTCAAAAATCTCGGAGCCCTTCCCATGAGGATGCAAATCTTCCGCTTTTAGCACCTTTCGACGCAGCCGTAGTTTCTACCTATCTGCGCTAGAGGGCTTCATTGCAGGCTAAATTCAAAATTTCCAGCAGCCACCTGCCATTTGCGAGTACAGATAAAGAGGTGTTGCAAGCTGGATCAAGTGCGCACCAACAGCAGAACCCAACTGATTCGACAAGGCTGTGCTGAAGCTGTGCTCAGATCGACCGCCTGGGGATAACTCTACCCGTCACGGTGCTGGCCTTCACTGATAGAGTCAGGTCGCAGTTGCAAATATTTTCCCACTGGTATTTTGACTACTATTTCCAAACATGATATCTGGTATAAAATGACATCGCTCTTATATCTGAAGTCAGTGAGGTGCACGCCTTGCACGTTTGCTTGTAGGTCTCATGGTCATAGGAGAAAAACCTCATAAGTGAGTACTGATCTCGCTGAAACAGCGACATAAAATGAAGATGAAAAACTTACCAGGAGATGAGCAACGAAGAACATCGCCGAAAGCGCTGGTGTCATCCAGGAAACCTGAACCAAACAGATAAACACGATTTGGAGTAGTCTCAGTTTACGCTAGAGTCCCTCTTATTACTTTGAAGTCCTGTTTATACAGTATTGTTCGCTGCAGATCCTGGGGCGTGTTAGGGAGGCTCGGTTTGACGAAGCGCCGACCCGTTACCGACTGTTGAAGCGAGCAAGCGACAGTAATAGGTGCAAAACGGGCTGGCGCCGCGCCGAACCCAGCTCCTCTGGCCCCACTTAGCATGCACAGCGAACAAGACCGTAAGTTCACCTCAAGTTAAGTG